CTGAGAACTGGAGTGATGTGCTCTCTCATCTTGGGGTTAGGAAACAGGGGGGCAGTGTAAGGATCTGAGAACTGGAGTGATGTGCTCTCTCATCTTGGGGTTAGGAAACAGGGAGCCAGTGTAAGGATCTGAGAACTGGAGTAATGTGCTCTCTCTTCTTGGGGTTAGGAAACAGGGGGGCAGTGTAAGGATCTGAGAACTGGAGTGATGTGCTCTCTCATCTTGGGGTTAGGAAACAGGGAGCCAGTGTAAGGATCTGAGAACTGGAGTAATGTGCTCTCTCTTCTTGGGGTTAGGAGACAGGGAGCCAGTGTAAGGATCTAAGAACTGGAGTAATGTGCTCTGTCTTTCTGGGGTTAGGAAACAGGGGAGCAGTGTAAGGATCTGAGAACTGGAGTAATGTGCTCTCTCATTTTGGGGTTAGGAGACAGGGAGCCAGTGTAAGGATCTGAGAACTGGAGTAATGTGCTCTGTCTTTCTGGTGTTAGGAGATAGGGAGCCGGTGTAAGGATCTGAGAACTGGAGTAATGTGCTCTCTCTTCTTGGGGTTAGGAAACAGGGGGGCAGTTTAGGGATCTGAGAACTGGAGTAATGTGTTCTCTCATCTTGGGGTTAAGAAACAGGGAGCCGGTGTAAGGATCTGAGAACTGGAGTAATGTGCTCTCTTCTTGGGGTTAGGAAACAGGGGGGCAGTGTAAGGATCTGAGAACTGGAGTAATGTGCTCTCTCATCTTGGGGTTAGGAAACAGGGAGCCGGTGTAAGGATCTGAGAACTGGAGTAATGTGCTCTCTCTTCTTGGGGTTAGGAGACAGGGAGCCAGAGTAAGGGTCTAAGAACTGGAGTAATGTGCTCTGTCTTTCTGGGGTTAGGAAACAGGGGAGCAGTGTAAGGATGTGAGAACTGGAGTGATGTGCTCTCTAGAGTAATGTGCTCTCTAGAGTAATATGTTTTGAGAACTAGAGTAATGTGGGACTTTTATGGGATCATTAAGAAAGTAGCAACGAATGACTCCAAAACATTTTAAAGTAAACCGATACAAATTTATTTTAAAAGCTTGAATTATATCCGATGATATAAAATCCGATGATTTTTTTAAAACAAAAATGCGATTTGTTTAGGCGAGGTGGACGATCTGCGGTTTAATTTGGGGACGTGGCGGTTCTTAGCCAATCAAACGGTTATTTTCAATGAAGTGGACCAATGATAAACCAATGATGGGGCGGGTTCTTCTACGCGAATAGGCCAAAATACCTGATCCGATTGGATGAATCTACCGGAAGTGGAAGCGCAGGGCGAGATAGCTTCCGGTAGTGTTTAGGAGTCGCGGTGAGTTGAGCGCAGGTAGGGTGTTTGGAGTCTTTTACGTTCTTTTATTTGTTTGTACGACCGGCTTATTCTATAAATTTTTACTTATTTTGTTTTATGTTGTGCCTCGATTACTGGTGCGTCTATTCAATGTGTCGAAGTTTTGTGTCCGTCTGGTGAGATTTAATTTTTATTACGCTTTTTTAAAGTTTGGATTTTTCTCACTAACTAACAGAAGAACCTTTTCTTGCTTAGTTAGCTGGTGCTTTCCCTGAATAATTACCTGCCGCACTGCACGGTACCCTGATTACTTACTTTACCCTCAATACTGACACCCGCTTCGTTATAGATGCGACTTTATTATTCCGTTACTCGTATTAAGCACGAAGTGCTTATGGACCATTATTGTTTTTATTATTATTATTATTATTATTATTATTATTGTAGTATACATTAGTTGTTCACATTTAATGTCGCGGAATGTATTTCTCTCACATTTACAGTGATCTGAAAAGTTTATAGTTTTTGATGGAGACATTCCTCCATGGTGTGACATGTATCTAGCAGCAGATTGACATGAGATTCATGCTCACATGTTAGCACTGGATGCCGTGCAACTTTGGAACATTTTTTCAGGTTTTTATAAAACTGGTGAGTAGCTGGACAGCTATACTGGGGTTAGCCTCAGAGCTCTATATGTGTGTGTCTCCTAAACAGGAGAGCATGATGGGATATGTGACACCTAACACAGTCCAATGTGCCTGTACTTGTACAAATGGCAGATAAAGCTTCATTTAAGACAGTTTGTCACTGTTGAGATGGAGATTGACAGATTGAATGGCTTTTCTTTACCTTTAAACTTCCTTCAGTGGTTATCTTGCTTGAGGATGGAGTTCCGGGGACTGGTGATGTGTTTTGCGCTCTGTGTGGTGTACACCACCAGCAAGCCCACGGAGAGGAAAGACCGTGTTCATCATGACCCACAGCTGAGCGACAAGGAGCACGATGACCAGCAGAGCTTCGACTATGACCATGATGCCTTCCTGGGCCAGGAAGAGGCCAAGACCTTTGATCAGCTCACTCCAGAGGAGAGCAAGGAGAGGCTGGGGTAAGGTGGCAAATGGAGGAAGTTATTGGATTGCCTGACCAGTATTTGAACATCTGTAGAAATTTCAGTAACATGGAGCACATTGCACATTAATGGCCACCAAGCCAGGTTATCCAAAGTGCAACACCCCCCCCCTCCCTGCCCAATCTGCACACAAAAGCATATTGTGTCCAAATAACACAAGATGAAAATATCCTTAAAACTACATA